ACAAAACTGGGTTGTTAGAGTACCATTAACGTCTATTTTCAGTCCACTCACGGTTGAGATATCGCCCTAACTATGAAGAAATAGTGATAAGAACTTTTGCAAGCAATATTATATATTGCTCCGAACTGGAAGAGACTTTCATTTTTTTGTCATTTAAACAATACCCATTAGCAAGGTTTATAGAGCCATCAACTGATTTCAGTCCTTTCAGTACTTTGATTTAAAAATGAAAGTTAAAGAATTTTCAATTTCTCCCTATTTCCATGGCAACTATTGACAATTTGCAATTTCTAAATGCAAAACGCACAATAACAGATACTAATTATTACATCAATAAATTTTAAAGCAGAATGTTCAAGGGACAAGAGAGAACACTCGCGGACAGAATTTGTCCCTTTCGCAGGTTTCTATAGCAATAGTAGACATTTTGAAAATGAATGACTGCACAACATGAACAACCAGTGATCGTCCTTTGAGGAAAGTTTCAGGAAGATTGCCCGAGACATCTCCGAGAAACGTCTAGGAAAACAACAACATGCTTATAATCGCAATATGTCGCCCCCGACTTCGTTCGGGGCGACATAAAAGCTAGAGCAAAGATCGTTACAAAGCAGAAATAAGGCCTTCCGTCCAGTTGGACTGGAAGTGACATTAACATTTGTTAATATGTCTTTGGAGACTTTAGGCCTTCGATTTTGAGTGGAAATTTGCAAAATAAGCGATTTCTGGTTACTTCAAGCTTGATCGGAAGAATTTTAAATTGACATAAATTGATGAAAAATAAGTTCAAACGTCTTTAATTCATGTATATAGATTTGTAATTCGTAGTTTACCTCCAATGGAAGTGCTGTAAATCAAAGCTCGCTATGGTCTGAAAAATACGAAAGCCCTGAAGGGACACGTCGATTTAAAAAAAAAGTTAAATCTAGTTTGAGATCTCGAATAACACTATTCCTTCCTACAGATTATCAAATGGTTTCCTCAATTTATGATTCGTGATCATGGATAACATATTTCGTCGTCACAGTTTATGAATTGATATATTCGTATTCGTTCATATACATATGTAGGACAAAGGAGATGGGTGAACATAAGAGAAATAAGCCAATAGCGCAGCAAACATGAAGTTAAAAATTAAATCATAATTAAATTTTTCCTTCATATTTCATTTAAAATTAAAGAAAACTTTATGTGAAATCTCTAAAACTTGGACAAATCTCAAGAAGATTGAAAATATTTGCCTATGAAATTCTATACACACGCAAAGGAGGACAAAACGAGTAACTCTTTTACACGAGAACAATATTTTTCGATATGAGTGGGTCTTTTCTCCATTTTTTGAAAAATAATCCTCAAACTTTGTATACATACAAATTTTGGTTTCCAAAATCATGGAGCAAAGACTCACTATACCTTAAAAATATAACTTAATGACGTATTTTTAAAATCTTTTTGAGAAAAACTTGAAGTCCAATAAGTCAATGGTCATATCACAAACATGATTTAAATACCATTCTTCATCCGGACTTGTGTACTGAAGCCAGTGGGCTATTTGCACGCTAAGTTCGCCCATCTCCTTTGGTCAAAATTACACAATCAGAACTATATCTCGAAAAAAGACCTATCCCCTAAAATATGGGATCCAAAGGGCCAAAATATGTTTTCTGATATCTCAAAAAGTATTGAGCTTTGTAGTACATCGATGAATCAAATAGTTTAAAATAACAGGGAGCAAATAGAAAGGGATCGTTTTAAGGACATCCGACCATATATCTTGTCGATTTTCGACAATTTTAACAACATTTAGTTTAATTTCAGTGCTTCTGAAATACGACTGCTTTACAATGAGCTCCTTAATATCATTTGAACAGCTCTTGAATATGGCAAATTATTTCTTCCACAGAGAAATGAATAAGGTTTACTAAGCTGTTCAATTTAGATAACACAATATAAATAAATAGAGATTTCTCTGTGTACTGTGTATCGATTTCGATTGAATTCAGACGATTTGCTCTTAAACTTAAAACTAAATTTTCGCTATATAGTCATCGACTAACAGTAAAATTTTCACGTACTATGGTTATTGCTGTTCTCTATCTTAAGAAATGCTCTTAAAGGCAAAAATTAAATTTCACTGTCTTGCTCCTTTATAGTCTATCTGTATATAACTATCTTAGATTGGTATACTAGTATACAGTTCTTACACCGTACCATTTACTGATAAATTCCTCTTTGAATCATACACTTTAAAAACTTAAGTTAATATGACATCTTTTATCGAATAAGATGCTTTTATCTTGGAAAAGCAATATTTTTGGCACAGTATTCTCTCCTTGTTTCAGCACTCGTGCTGCAAACCCTCTCTTTGCCGGTTACACGCTAGTTGAATTGAAAGGTTGGGTGTTAATCAAATTTTAGAAAATAGCGGTTATTAGTGTAGATTTTTTAAAATCCCTCCTTATCCTTAATCCCCCATATGTACATGGCTGTCACTTCTGAAGATGGACTGCGAACTGAGTTTTACGAGCAAATGGTCATTTGTACCTACATATACGGCACGGCTGTTACTTCTGAAGATGGACTGCAAACTGAGTTTTACATAGCAAGTGTTCACCTGTACATGTACCTATATACGAGGGCTGTTCGGAAATTATTAACACAATTACATTTACTCCGTAAAGGACGGAGATATTTTTCTTGAAAATTCCTCAACATTTTAAAGAGAATTAATGAAACACTGATGCAAAATTTCTAATTTCTATGATAATGAAAAATGTTTCGGTTAAATAAGAAACATGCATATGTCTATCGACCCGGAGCAGTATCGTTACGTCATTTAACATTACGTCAGCCAGAGATGGTTTCGCATGTAAAACGATCCGAAAGAGTTTAATAATTTTCCTTTTTTGTTATTACATATAATATTACAAATATCAAGCAGTCTCTTTTCATAAACTATTTTCTAAAAATTAATGCTGTTGCTACCCCAGTGAAAAATTTTTCATTTGAAGGAAAGGATGACTAAGAATCATGCATTGCCGATTTATGTAACACAGGTCAACGATATTAATACCGTATCGATATTTATGTCACACGTAATAAATGACGACCGTCCGGAGCTTTTGAATTAACACCGGTAGGATTAATTGTAAAAAAAAAATATTCCTATGAAATAACAAACCCTAACATATTATTTTTTTTTCTTATTGTTATTGATTAAGCGGGTCGTTCAGTATTTAAAAAAAATTCCACATTGCGCTACACAAAATTTTAGGTATGCTGGCTCCTCCGCCCTTGACGTCATAATCCACTTTTTCGTTATAAGCAGATCTCACTACCGAGCTTATTTATTCAATGATTTTTTTTTAAATTTCTGATCAAAATTATAACAAAGTTGCACAAAATAAATTTGAAATAAAGCTGAAAACTTATACACATAAACTGAATTATTTTCGCTCTTATTATTATACACAATGTCTCAATCATTTTCGAACAGCCCTCGATTATTCGGAACGACTGTAAATTCTGAAGATGGACTGCGAACTGAGTTTTATACAACATATGATCATCTGTGCCTACATATTTGGCATGGCTGTCACTTTTGAAGATCGACTGCAAACTGAGCGGCATACATCACTTTAAAAATCATGTAATATTTGTTCAGTATTAGACCGCTGCACATGACAGGGTCAAATTGAATACCATGCAAATATTGTGACAGTGTTAACAAAACTATGTTTATTTTCTTCCTTGACTTCTGCACCTCATAGAGTCATGGGTGTGTGAATATTATTGTTGCACTGCAAGTTTTTATTATTTGACCTTAACCTTTGCATCTCCCAGGGACAACGTCATCTGATACGTTGTATGTTGATGCTGAACTGAAATATTGCTGTGCTGAAATGTAGTTGCTTTTGAGCTTGTAATGCTGGGCCTATCTGTTGCATTGGAGGCCCGAAAAAATATGCTGTTATATAATTCAGCCGTGCCCAAAAGCGCCCAATAAATTTAATATAAAAGTTATGAAAATTTGTGTTTGATATTATTGCGTCTGTCCAAGATGATATTTTTCAAGGACAGTTACCCTTGAAATTGTGTATGTAATACAACTAAGGGATCTGTCGCAATACTTAAGTTCGATAATGTTTATTTTACTGCAAGAGGAATATGACTTCATTTTGTGCCAAAAATCATGTGAGTTTAAAAAGTGCGCGGAGCTGTATATCCATTGCTTTTAATTTATTTTAAAATAACATGAATCAATGTTCTTTTTCTATTTTGTCTTATGGGTAAAATTATGTTTAGACTGATGTAAACACATCGATATCGTCTTAATAAGTGACTGTTATATATTCTTAATTGGTATCTTCGGTTAAATTGTCCATGTACAGGTATAATATGTGTTAACTTAGTGATCAGATAATTTCATGATAATGTTCGTGATTTATTGAAAAGACTGTCTGAGTTCTTTGATCCCAGTAAAAGGTAGGAGATTGAATGCTTAGGTCGTAGTTTACACGCGTTCTTTAAATTCTATTGACACATCTAGCTGTTGAAGGAAATATGTTTAAAGTCTAATTTAATAATCCTTGTGGTTATGTAATATGCATTTACTATTCTTGTTTTATTGAATACGTGTTCATTCGCAGGAAGTCCAGACAACATGACTGAAAGTTACTCAGAATACCCATTGAGCTCTCCTCTAGTACACATTATAACTTGTGAATCCAATGAATTGCCAATAGATATTATATGTGAGGAATGTGATGAATTCATTTGTGCCAAATGTACCAAAACAGATCACAGAGATCATGATTGGAAAACTTTATCCACAGCAGCAATCCAACGGAGAAGAAATCTTCTTCCATTTTTCAGACAGATCAGGGAGGAAGATCTGCCTGGGATTGTTGAGAAAATAGAAAAGATATCTAAGCAGATTACAGAAAATAAAGAGTTGTGTGATTCTGAAATTAAAAAAAGTACAGGTGCATTATGATGAGATGATAGCCAGGCTGACAGAAATCAAAACACATCACGAGCGAACTTTAAGAGACAATTTAGTTAAAAAGAATGATCAACTCAACAATGTGAAATTTGAGTTAGACAAGAAGAAGAAAGGAATTATCGATACAGTAGAATTCATGGAAGAAAATAACAAAACCATATCAGATTACAGCTTGATTGATAACTACAGAGAACTAGCAAAACTGTTATCTAAATTAGAGATTCAAATGACAAACTGTGAATATTCAGTGAGGTTCACTAGAGGTAAAATCAATGATGATCTACTTGAGTCTTTTGTTGGAAAAACTCTCGACTTTGATAACATTTGTGTTACTACACAAACATCATTTAAATATGGAAATGATGTAATCTTTGTGTTGGAGACATTCAGCGAAGACCAATGTTACATAAGAGAACATGAATCAAAATATACAGAAAAGGTTAACAAAGAAGGAACTAAAAAAGAAAAATTTAGTATCACTCCATTTGACATGTGTGTGACTAATGATGCCAATGTTTATTTCACTGATGTTGATAACAATACCATCAGCTGTCTGTCGCCTTCTGCTCAACAATGGATGGTGGACTACTGGTCACCTTGATAGACTCAGATGATTACAAATTAGACTCACACAGCAGACGTCTTGTGAAACAAATAAAAATGACAGGTGATATCATCCATGAGTATGAGTATCAAGACGACGGTCACACCAGATTGTTTACATTACCAATCAGTGTCATACAGAACAATAACAGTGATATCTGTGTTGTGAACCGAATAAATGACTATACAGGTGAATTTGTGATTTTGTGTCCCTCAGGTCGTATGAAATCTGTCTACCATGGACAGAACTTGAAAGAGAACTTTAGTCCAACTGGTGTAGTTTGTGACTCTCTCTGTAACATCCTTGTTACTGACTATCACAATGACAAGATCCATCTGCTGAGTTATGGCGGAGAGTTTGTGAAACTTTTACTGACAATAAAATGAACGCTCCATACTCACTGTCTCTCTACAATTCAACACTGTGGGTGGGATACTTGGAGGGATTTGTCAAAGTGTTTCAGTACAAAATGCAAAGTGCATTAAAATGATATAGTTTTATGAAAGTCTTTAAAAGATCCTCGAAATATACCTTAAATGTGCATTTTTAGGTCACCTGAGTAAACTCGGGTGACCTATTGCTATCTGTTTTCGTCCGTCATCGTGCGTCGTGCGTTGTGCGTCGTGCGTTGTGCGTTAACATTTAACATTTTCAGCTTCTTCTCTGCAACTACTCAATCAATTTCGACCAAATTTAGTACAAAGCATTTATGGGTGAAGGGGAACAAAAATTGTGAATTTCATGATCCCTGCCCTCCTGGGGTCTGAGGGGTGGGGCCAAAACCACTAAAATTAATGCAATTTTTAAAAATCTTCTTCTTTACTCCTGGGCATCAAGCAGTCAAACTGTTTGCATGATTGTAATTAGCATTGAGTCTATTACCAAAATTGTGAAATTCAAGGCCCTGGGGTCAGGGGTTCTACGGCTAGGGCGGGGCTAAATAAGTATATAGTTAATATGCATTATTTCTTTGAAAATCTTCTTCTCTGCTCCTGGCTATTAAATAAACAAACTACTTACATAGTTATGATGATCAAGAGTGCCTCTACCAAAATTGTGAATTTTATGGCCCCAGGGTCAGGGGTTCTGTGTAAGGGGGGATGTCTATTGATTATATAGTGAAAATACATGAATTCTTCGAAAGTCTTCTTCTCTGCTCCTGGGTATTAAATAAACTTACTAAGTGCATAGTTATAATGAGCAAGAGTGCCTCTACCAAAATTGTGAATTTAAGGGCCCCAGGGTCAGGGGTTCTGGTGTTGGGGGGGGGGGCTCTATTAATCATAGTGAAAATACATGAATTCTTTGAAAGTCTTCTACTTTGCTCCTGGGTATTAGATAGATTAACTAAGTACATATTCATGATGAATAAGAGTGCCTCTACCACAATTGTGAATTTTAGGACCCCAAGGTCAGGGGTTCTGGTGTTGGGGGGGGGGCTGTCTATTGATTATATAGTGAAAATACATTGAAAAATCTTCTTTTCTGCTCCTAGGTATTGAATAAACTAACTAAGTGCATAGTTATGATGATCAAGAGTGTCTCTACCAAAATTGTGAATTTTATGGCCCCAGGGTCAGGGGTTCTGGTGTTAGGGCTTGGGCTCTATTGATTATGTAGTGAAAATACATGAATTCTTTGAAAATCTTCTTCTCTGCTCCTGTGTATTAAATAGATAAAATAAGTGCATAGTTTTGATGAGCATGAGTGCCTCTACCAAAATTATGAATTTCATGACCCTGGAATCAGGGGTTCTTGTGTTAGGGGGGCTCTATTAATTACTTGTATATAGTGAAAATTCATGAATTCTTTGAAAATCTTCTTCTCTGCTCTAAATGCATAGTTATGATGAGCAAGAGTGCTCTACCAAAATTGTAAATTTTAGGGCCCCAGGGTCAGGTTTCTGTTGTTCGGGGGGGGGGGGGGGGGCTCTGTTAATTATAGTGAAAATACATAAAATCTTTGAAAATTTTATTCTCTGCTCCTGGGTTTTAAGCTGTTGAATTACCTATATAGTTATGAACAAGGACCCTAATCTTCCAGAATTGTGAATTTCAAGGCCTCATTTAACTGTGCATTACGTGATCATGACTTCTATTAATAGCGAAATGTTCCTTAATTAGAAAGCTAACAGAAACAACAATACCCTGGGAGTTTAATAATGTCTTTGAGAAAATAATAATCGAAAAAACATCTCTTGTGCCTACAAATTATTACTAGACTCCCACTGTCCTGTCAATAAAATAAATATTCCACACATTCCAATGAAACCTTACCCGATGTTTTGAATTTTATACATATGAACCGATCTTTTTAGTAAAACCATGTTAAATTGGCATTCTTACAGCACTTTCTAAGTATTTAAGGAGGGAAAATTTCCATCTGTACAAATCTTATGTTTTGAAATATCCAGCTAATTTTTGTTCTGTTGCTTTTTTTGTCACGAATGGCATAGGAAAGAACAGACTGAGATACGTATATACATGTAGCAGACTATCGTCGAAAGGAAGTATAATCGATGAAAGTAAATAAGCATACCTGTCTAATTAACTGAACTCAATATGAATATTCACGATGTTTGCTTTTAAACTCTGTTACGGCCATTTCGGTAACTAGACTTTTTAGGCTCATTAGTGTGATGTTACGTCATCGTTTTTGGGGCACAATATTTTTTTGTGTAGAGCCCGTGTTATCATGGCAGAATGCGGAAGGGCTTGGTGCCGCAATTGTTACCAGTTTGCCATTTGCTAGTTGTTATGTTTCTCATTCTTTGTACTGATATTTATTTCACCGGAGGAAACTTCTTATTGTAAATCGTCATTTCCACATCAATGTAATAGTCAAGTTGAACGTTATTTCCACGTCTACTTCTATGTCAATATTATCTCCACGTCAATGTTATAGTCATCGTCATTTCCATTTCAACTTCAAGTCATATTTCCACGTCATTGTCATCGTCATATCTCATCATCCCCATAAATAAAATCATTGGACGCATTTACCACGTTGTTTTCTTAATTTCCTATCCCGAGTCAGTACAAACTCCATTTACTTTTCTTAGTACATGCCATGTTAGCCAAATTCTCTTTACACGACATGTACGACATGTTACCCAAGTAACTTTATGTACACATATGACGTCATCAGTGGAAGATTTAAATCAAAATGACAGACACAGTGTAACAAAATAAAAGCATTCTATGTTTATTAATGTTTACACGTTACTATAATATTTTTTGGAGTAAAATTACATCTCTGAATACTAATATTACGAAAAGATGTGTTCTTAAACTGACGTCATCTCGCCTACTATGACGACATAGTCAAGGTAGATTGTTCTGTATTATAGGGTTATTGAACTTATATTGGTGAAAATTGGCACAAGTTGGCTTTTAAAATACATGAGCTTGCGAGTGCATTTGAACCCCCAACGAGTACCAATATTCACGAGTATAAGTTCAGCAACTCCTTTTTCATATAGCTAAAACATTTCTACATGTTCATAATTTATAAAAATTATTCCAACTACAGAAATCCTCAATTTAACGATTTTTATTATTGGAATTCAAATTAACGTCTGCCATGTTCAATATCGCATCATTCCGATGACCCTTCCGAGCAAAATGATTTGCTTATTTAGCTGGGTTTTGATGGATCTAATACATACATGCACTATATTTTAATAAATGATTTCATTTTTTGTGAAAAATAAATACATCTTTCCTAGATGACACTTCCTTCCTTTATTAAGCTCAGAGAATTTGACCAGACGACAGTTTACAATGGAGCGTTCGATAATGAGCGCTCGTGTTCGGAATGTTTTGGGCATAGTCATATAAGCATTACAAAGTTAGCATTCAATAAAACGTCAAGATATTGAACGTTAAAATTCTCTAGATTTTTGGTAGTATTTTATTAGCTATATAATAGCTTCCTTATTACCCCTGCAAGTGCTCCTTGTCATGGTCAGGAAATAACGGAAAAATTTGTTGCCAGCTCAGTGTATAATTAATGGACTAACTTAACAATTAGTTTGAACAACGTCAGTCAGCATTTGACTCAATGATAAATATTAATTGCTGGCAAGGTCATTGTATCGACCATAAAACTTACGAAATAATGAATTTAAACAGGACTGCTGATATTCTTCTTTCTTCGATTTGTAAGTCAATAATTTACCTCGCTTTAGAAAATTCTCATACGCAGAGCACGCTCTTGAGTATCGAATTAACTGAGGTACATAAACATCGTATGTAGGTGATAAAAGAATATTGTTGCATAAGTAACATGAGTAAGAAAATTAACGATAGAAAAGTTGAAGTCAAGAATTTTCTCTGAAGAAAAGAAGTCCGACAAAGTAGTAAAATTAATGTTTTCAATTAATTAAGTTAGTTTCGCTAATTAAAAGCCTTATCATCATGACAATTCAAATAATCAAACTGGTAATATCAACATGCCTTTAACCCCTCACCCTTTAAACATCTGGTTCCAAATTCTACATTTCCAGGTTTACATATACAAACACCTATTTTGTCTGCCTGCGATCGTACACATGTTTTAGATACATCAGAACACTCCCTGGTTGATGTACATTTATCTTCTGATAGATCTATCCAAAAAAAAAAAAGAAAACACTTTTTTTATAATGCATGAATAAAATGTAAGATAAAATTGTTGCAAAAATTAGAATATTATTAAGAAATTGATCAATGAATTTGAATAATATTGATTGACAAAAATAGAGTAAAAATCAATCTAAATTTTTCTCAACGTCTTGCAATTTTTTTTTGCATGGGATAGGGTTTTCCCGAGCCAACATGATGAAAACTTTAATTAGAATTTTCATGAAGGAAGGAATAACACTTTGTTTAAATGGGACTATTTAATCAAATGTTGTTTACAATATAACAGCATAACCCTGTGCGTCCGAAAAGCATTTTCCTGAAATAATTTCATTTGTAAGTGTTTTCACTGCATGTACATTTAAAAAATACCAAATTAAAAATTTAAAAGTCTCATAAAAAGTAAGTATTTTTTACATTGAAATTTATGCATTAAATATTAAACATGAATGAGTTTTAATGAAAAACATCCGAAAGTTTTAATTTAACATCAACATCAAATCCCTTAATTGAAGCTGTCATTGAGTAAACGCATTCTTCTCGATTACATCTTACATAATTTCATACACATTCGACTAAAACAGATAACTTCCCTCCAAGTTAAAAGATCACGAAATTTCGATCATGACACGGCATCTAAATTTGAAAGGTATTGTAATATTATAGCTTTTAAAAACTCACAATTTATTCCATACAATTTGCATACAATTTCTAAATTTTTAGTTGTTCCATTATAAAAGTCGCATCTGTGAAAGTATTGGAGATCAATCCATTGAAACTAAGATTTGTAAATGTCAATCGGTAATGCATCCCTTCGTAGAGGTAATTCATTTTTACTTGACATTTCTGAACACAATGTCCATCAACTGCATAATAAAAATAACAGGAGAAATAATAATAGTTTGACTCTTTCGAAACGGTATATTTGCAAGTGCGGTAAACAGGTGTGTAAAAATATTTTGATAAGTCTCTATTTTTCAAGATTCTTGAATCTATATATTGTACAGTCTACTAGAAGTCTTTAGGATATACATGTATATGAGATCAATATTAAATAATAATTTGATTGATTGATTGATTGTATATTGTTTAAGGTCCCTCTCAAGAATTTTTCACTCATATGCCCCCACTTGCTGGTGTAGAACTGCAAATTTTATCCTTTACTCGGCACTTAGGGCCATTGAGCATGGAGGGATCTTTTTCTTGCCAGCACCTACTGCGACATGGGACCTCGGTTTATACGGTCTCATCCGAAGGACCGGTCTCCACGTCCCACAGTGTGATTCGAACCCGCGACGTAAGGATTGACTCCTTACTTCGCGACTCTAGAGCAGACGCTCTAACCACTGCGCCACGTGGGCGACAAATTATAATTTGAAGTGGACATGGCAATTGAAGAAAAATATTAAGAAGATAAAAAGAGTAGTGGGAGGTAGTACAAGTATTATATTACTGTATCAAATAAGGTGACTACTGCATATCATTTCCCGTAAATAAAAGGAGACTGATTCCAAAAATTACCCGTTTCAAGCCGCTGTCTTGCATCCTCTAATGTAAACATACATGATATTTCATCCATTGCAAACATAAAAGGTTTGTTCAGACAAACTTCACTGAAAATCAACATATAACTGATAGCGATTCTTTCTTGAGATTTATAAGAAGTGCGTTTCTATTGTAAGACCTTTTTCGATAATAGAATATAAATCAACAATAGAAAAGTACAGTCAATAATGTGGTCAGTTATATTTCTAATGCTTTTTTAGCACTTTGCTTTGATTTTTGTTTCCTACCTGTCAACATCATATGTAGAACAACCATAAAGCAACGTCATAAAAACAACAAATACTGAAATGAAATGCATCTTTTTAGTAAAAAGATTTCACAGTATTTTTTATAAAGTTTTCACTGTACTTAAACATGTTAAATAGTGTAAAATAGCAGGCTATTTTCTGTGGTATTCTGATATATTTTTATGTTACTATAAACAAAGATACAGTGTATAAACTTTTAATGAGAGTTTTCCTACATTTTAATTGATTAGGATTCTGTAATTTAATAAAACCATCGCGACTTCCAAAAACGTCATTGTAGAAAAACCAAGTAACACAATAAAAGCAAGATTCGCTTGCAGTGGGTCAACATTGATTTTGCCTCCACTCTGTCTCGGAAGCCTACATATTCTACGATCCAACAACCCCAGTCAATATTTTAATAATATTTACTGTACTTAATCGCGGAGGATTAGAATTCGGTTATTTCGCTCTTGCTTAGCAACAAGTATCAACAAACATAAATCCTACGCAAAATTGTTCTTTTACTTTGTTTTGCATTGGTTAAATTTAGATGCAACGAAATTTCATGTCCACGAAACCTTTTTACATTTTTTTTTAATTCTTAATCTTTAAGAAATGAGTCTGAACATATATCACCAAGAAAAATGGCACCTGATCCCACTTCTGATATTTTGAAGGTTCGGGTTTTCTCTGCTTTAATCTTGGATTTTTCCACTACTTCCCGGTCATGACAAGGAGCACACCGGTTGGCAGAGGATTCTTACTCCTCCATGGCACTCGATCGCGCTTCTGATGTTTTGGGGGTCCGTGCTTGCTCTGCTCCATTTTTGCATCGTATTGTGGAGTTTTGAGCTTGAATACAGTTCGTTATCCCAATATATTTTTTGCGAAAAAGCTGTGCAGTAAATTAGTTGGATCTATAGTTTGGTACTGAAAAAAGAATCCAGACACTCTCCATGTATACTGCTGAATGTGGTAATAAATGAATCAGAATATTCTGGTTCCATCATATTTGATCATATTTTGGAAAGATATAAACATAAACATTAATTAATAGTTGAACATAAAAAATGCTTCCTCAAAGTACATGAGTCTAGTTTTTCAAACCAAGATTAGGCCAAATTTCCCTTTTCTACCTGTATTTAAACTTTTAAAGTACCATTCAAGTACCATATTTTTATTGACAGGTCGGAAAAGAAAATATATACTTACATTCAATATTCTTCGATATTGTCATTTTTTAAAGTATAAAATTATTTCCTATTTTACAAATTTGTCTGAATTTAAATATTTAATTTACATCCTTAAATTAATTTATGTAAAACATCTGACACGGCAGACCCATGCTAGCAATTAAGTTTCTTAATCCCAAATTTCTTATCCGTGAGATTAAAGCAATTCTCGAAGATCTTTCTGTAAATTAGTATGATTTATATTCTCGGCCGTCGGATGCTAAGATATGCGCGCGGGTTCTCACGCCTTTCACCATTCCCTCACAGAGCCTTGTCAGTGAACGCGCAAACAAAAATTCTGCTGTAATTTTAATTGTTGATCTCTTCATATCTATTCATTTGGGATAGAAAGGTATGGATTTTAATTTTTGATGTTTATTTTCCTCGGCATGTTGGATCCCTATGTTCTTGAATTTTTTTATTGTGGAACAGAACTAGTTTTTTTTGGTGAAAGCATATAATTCAAAACAATGGTATCAATTCTGATTGCGGGATCTTCTCATGTAAATAGATTACAATCGTATATCCGAGAACATTGTGAATATGCTAACTTCAATTTATCCGCAACGGCGATTAATTATTTTGGAATAAGTGGTAGAAAATTATCATGTTCCGCTCATATAAATATGTTAGAAAGGAAAATCGCTGATCTACGTCCAGGTGTACTCATTTTACATATAGGAGGAAATGATGTTGACAATGTAACAGCAGATGAATCGTTTGTGAGGGAATTAAGCCTGCGCCTTTTATGCATCGCAGAAACTTTCGCATCACGCTACAATATTGCACATGTGAAAATTTGTCAGCTAATGCCTCGTTTTAGGACTCGACTTTTAGACACAACATCGTATAATGAACTTGTGATCAAATTCAACAGAGAATTGAAATGTCTGCTGGTACAGAAAACGAGTGTGCAATATTGGAAGCTTAAAAATATTAAACATCCTAAATTTCCGATATTTTGTGATGGCGTTCACTTTAACAAAGAACATGGGATGATGATATACTATAGGAATCTACGTGGGGCAATATTGCACTCCTTGAAGGCTATCCAAAAGTGATGGCATGTTTAAATAAGTTTTATTTTATTTTTAATTTTTGTAGTAATTATGCATTCAAGATACATGTACTTGAATTTTGAATATCGATGTACTACCAAAAAATATTATGGTGTATAGAGTGTAGAACATTTTACGATAGCTGCTAGTCATTTGATGCACATGGCATCGTTTTAGTGATCTGTCACTATATATGCACTGTGATATGTCACAGTAGAAACGGCTTCTGTTCATTTTGATGCACATGGCATCTTGATGTTTGCGATATGTCGCTATGAGCTGTAATATGTACAGCTGAGCAGTTGCTTTTATGTTATGGCTAGCAGCTTATATGTGTGAAGTGTCGCTACACGCTGATGTATGTTACACCTGAGAATTATGCTCAAGTGTAAATGATATGGCGCTTTGGCTATTTCTTGATTATTTTCATTGTGATCTGTCATTATAGCCTATGTTTGGCCTCTTTGAATTGACTGCTATTGAAACTTTTGCACACTTAAGTATTTGGGTGTCCTTGGTTGTCTATGGCACCATAAGGCTTGGAAAAATTATTTCCATTAGAAGCTTAATTTGGCGATCAAGGGCATTTTTATACTTAAATTTTTTTTTCATGTTAATATGCAAAGTCAATTCAACATGTATATAGGCAGATAAGGTATTGAACTATGAGTGTCTTCATTCTTAAGACAGGTGTCTCGTTTTGTAGGCCAAAATATGCCACCCAAAAAGAAAAGACCAAAGAGCACTACAACCGGGAACACACCATCCTCTGAGACTTCAGGCCCCGCGAAAGCAGACAACATCAGCCTCTGTTGACATTGCCGAGCAGGTGAACAACGCTATACAATTAGCCCTGCCAAAAATCACTCAAGCAGTCCTTTCGGCAATGAATAATAAGAGCGAGGAGCACACAGATAAAGCTCCAGAGGTGCCTCAGGAATTACCAAGCACGTCCACGGAGCCGCTTTCCCAGGCTAGCGATGGTAACAGTTTTTCGCTAATACATACATCAGACAGTATTTCTAAACCCTTATCACTCGGGATTGACGCAAAAACAAAAGCAAAAATTTGGGCAAATGAATTTGTAGAGTTTGGGTCATTACTCAAGCCAACTAAAAAAACGTAAAATTCTCTGTAGAAGAAAAAGATGAAGGTTTGACTTTTGTTAAGGAAAACAATCCATGCAAAATTGAATCCGTCCAACAGTGGTTGGCAGCCTTTCATATTTTCGTCATATATTTGTAAACGAGGTATCAAAATTAATGAAATATGCCAATATTGTCCAAAAGCTGGCTGATCAGTCAACTGCTTCGGCAGCAATCAATTACGATAAAACTTTTAGACAATGGAGAGAAATTTCTCCTGGGGAGCTTCAATGGGATCGCGTTAACATTGAATTGTATCAGGAGGCCTTAGCTACCGGTTTACAAGCAAAGTTTAAATCAACATATCAGAAAACTACTTTTCGTCCCTTCACAAATATCAAAGGAAAAGGGGGTTACACAAAGTCATTCTGTTTCAACTTTAACAACTCCGAGCAGGGAATTTGCAACAGAAAGGAGTGTAAATTTTCCCATTCTTGTCAGCTCTGCGATTGAGAGCACAGTAGAAAGGTCTGTCCCACTTCCCTCAAATCAACCGCAAACGCTAAAGGAAGACAAAGAGTTGGCAGTAATCATGGTCCGACAGAATTTACAAAGTCCACATCAAAATCAACAAAATAAAAATTTTGAAATTGTTACCCCAGTTAACCCTGATAGGTTACATGTATGGCTATTAAATTACGATATACCTGATAGGGAGTTTCTGGTCTTAGGTTTTAGAGAAGGATTTAAAATACCTTTTCAGGGTAAAAGACATCGCAGGCTTAGCGACATTTTAAAATCCGCCAAGCAACATTTAGACATTCTTCTAGAAAAAATGAACAAAGAATTAGCCTCTGGTCGAGCTGCTGGTCCGTTTCAAGAACCACCATTCAAAGTTCGCCCTTAGGCTTAGTGCCCAAAAAGCAACCTGGCGAATTCCGGGTTATCCATCATTTGTCATACCCAGAAGGTCAGTCAATTAATGACGGAATATCTCAAGAATTCTGTTCCATCAAGTATCAGACAATTGACGACGCGGTTAAAATTCTTAAAAAGTATGGCAAGGGGGCTTTATTTTCGAAGACTGATATTGAGAATGCATTTAAAATCATTCCTGTTCATCCTTCAGATCACGAATCAGATCACGAATTACTAGGCTTTACGATAGGAAGTTATTATTTTTTTGATAAAACTTTACCCATGGGTCTTAGTTATTCCTGTAATCTCTTTGAGAAATTTAGCTCGTCACTTCACTGGGTTATGGACTATCATTACAATGCTTCCTGTGTACATGTTTTAGATGATTTCCTTTTCATTGGTCCAGCCAACACAAATCAGTGTTTAAATTCGCTGGAAAACTTTTTGAACCTGTGCAAAGATATAGGAGTTCCCATTAAATCTGAGAAAACAGTATATCCCACAACAACAATTACATTTTTAGGTTTAGAATTTGATTCAGAAAAAATGGAATTAAGATTGCCAGATGACAAGCTTCTCAAATTGCAAGAAACACTAAATAGTTTCAAAAGGAAGAAAAAAGCTTCACTACGCGACTTACAGTCTCTTATTGGCTTGTTACACTTTGCATGTTCTGTTGTATTACCTGGCCGCACATTTCTCAGACGACTGATAGATCTCACCAAAGGTTTAAGATTACCGCACTTTAAGAAGTACTTGAATAAGGAAGCTAGGACTGACCTTGAGGCCTGGTCAATTTTCATCAACCATTTTAATGGCAGATCCTTAATTTTAGAAGATAAATGGATTACTTCTGGAATATTATCCCTCTATACAGATGCAAGTGACCTTGGTTTTGGGGGTACTTTTCAAACGAACTGGTTTTGTGGGAAATGGCCTGAAAAGTGGCGCCAGCTACACATTACAGTCAGGGAACTATTGCCTATTGTACTGGCCTTAGATTTGTGGGGCCCCGTCCTGCAAAATTCCCGTGTAAATTTTTATTCTGATAACATAGCTGTAGTGTACATTATTAACAAACAAACTTCTACTGATCCAACTATCATGAAATTAATGCGGCGTTTTGTCGTCAAGACAATGCAGTTTAACATTTTATTTAAGGCAAGCCATGTCCCTGGTGTACTTAACGTTGCTGCAGATAAACTTCTCGCTTACAGGTACAAGAATTCAAGGAAGGGTTCCCATCTATGAATCCAATGCCGACACCAATATCTCCAACAATGCTCAACCTTTAAAGAACCTAGCAGACTTCATTTTGCAGAGTTCACTTTCTAAAGCGTCTAGGTCATCATACGATAGAGCTTTTACATGTTATAAGTCCTTCATGTTCAACCAATATCCAAACGTTCCCATCTTACCACCATCATCTCAACATGTCGCACTTTTTGTAGCCTTTTGTTTTCAATCCAACATGGCGACGTCGACCTTGAAAAGTTATCTATCAGCTCTAGGATATATATTTAAATTAAAGGGCTATCAAGACGTAACACAGCTTTTTGTAATTCGCAAAATGCTACAAGGGTATCAAAAGTTAAAACCAGGTACCGGGGATACGAGGCTGCCTATAACACCGTCTATTCTAAGAAATTTAGTTGACTCGCTTGATCATTTAGGTATCTCATTTTACCAGCGCAGCATGCTAAAATCAATGTATTTGTTGGCCTTCCATGCCTTCTTAAGAGTGGGGGAAATAACTATCACATCTCGACATCACAGAGGTAATGTTTTGCTACTGGAAAATGTTAAGCTTGTTCGAGACGAATCAAACACACTAGAAGGCCTAGAAATAAGACCTGATTCTTTCAAGCACAGTTCTGGCCGACATATTCCCACCTTGTTTCTACAGGCTAGTAATTCCGATGAAGGGCTCTGTCCAGTGCAAGCACTATTGTCAATTATTACACTAAGGGGTCAAGTCATGGGTCCCCTTTTTTCTTACCCTGATGGTCATGGAATCCAAAGGCAACAATTTACAAACTTTCTACAAATCTCTTTAAAGTGGTCGGGTCTCGATTCTAAACTCTATAAAACTCATAGTTTTCGAATTGGTGCGGCAACGTCAGCGGCCGAAATGGGTATTTCAGATGAAAAGATTAAACAGATGGGACGATGGCATTCCGACGCATACAAGAAATACATACGCATACCTGTTTTGAAAATCTAAATATTTTCTGCAGTAAGTATAATCATGGGGACAGGGGCCTCTGATTATGCACTAAATATCAACACATACTACGATCAGCTGTTTTTTGGACATAGCGAATATAAGTTTCCAGATTTATATTTAATTTCCCTTTATAGCATGGACTGTTTTGAATTTTAAACCTAGGTCATGGGGACATGGGCCTCTGACTTAACCTTATAAATATAGCATGGAATGTTTTGATTTTCAAACTTGAGTCATGGGGACAGGGGCCTCTGACTTAACCTTACAAATAAAGGATGGACTGTTTTGATTTTTCGAACTTACACGTAAGTCATGGGGACAGGGCCTCTGACTTAACCTAATGGAGGTACAACTGCGTTCATTTTTCTTCGACATTAAGTCACGGGGACATGGGCCTCTGATTTATTCGCCTGGTTGTGTTTATATAATGTATAATTTGTTTTTTTATTCCGGTTGGCTGTAATAGTGATGTTAGAAACTTTGATGAAATATGACAGAGGATCGTGAACTTAATTATAACGTATTATGGACACTGCTGGTTAATGGAGCTTGAACTAGATCCTTCTGTCACTTTTAAAGGAGCATCTTGACCGTCTTTGAAGAAACTGTGTGGTATTTATGTTTGTGCATTAATATTAACAATTCATTAAAAGACAATAGTTTAAGGATGGGGTTTATTGCGTTTATGTAAACACAATAATGTGGCGAATTTTTATACCCCACCTTTGATATCTATTGAAACAAAATTGATTATATTTTCAATTGTTCAATTTTTCTGATTCTGCATTATATGTTTATATGCATGATATTTTGTGTTTTTTCATACAGTCATTTATAATGTAAATAAATGGCATTTTTCAATTCACTTAATCTTAATTTTGTTTCTTCATATCAAACAGAGCCTTTAAACTATTGTCAGTGGGTTTACATAAATATTTAATTTACATCCTTAAATTAATTTATGTAAAACATCTGACACGGCAGACCCATGCTAGCAATTAAGTTTCTTAATCCCAAATTTCTTATCCGTGAGATTAAAGCAATTCTTGAAGATCTTTCTGTAAATTAGTATGATTTATATTCTCGGCTGTCGGATGCTAAGATATGCGCGCGGGTTCTCACGCCTTTCACCATTCCCTCACAGAGCCTTGTCAGTGAACGCGCAAACAAAAATTCTGCTGTAACTTTAATTGCCCTCCGTCCCGCCCCAACACCATCTGTAATTATTGCCGTGTCAGCATAGTTATCTTTGATTGGTTTTGTATGATACATGTTCTTTTAGAATAGTTTTTTATGTTTATGTTTTAATTTGCTAAAAATATGTACGATTGTACGTGGTGTTTGCGAATTTTTATACCCCACCTTTGATATTTATTGAAACAAAATTGATTATATTTTCAATTGTTCAATTTTCTGATTCTGCATTATATGTTTATATGCATGATATTTTGTGTTTTTTCATACAGTCATTTATAATGTAATGTATGTTTACAATATAACAGCATAACCCTGTGCGTCCGAAAAGCATTTTCCTGAAATAATTTCATTTGTAAGTGTTTTCACTGCATGTACATTTAAAAAATACCAAATTCAAAATTTAAAAGTCTCATAGAAAGTTAGTATTTTTTACATTGAAATTTATGCATTAAATATTAAACATGAATGAGTTTTAATGAAAAACATCCGAAAGTTTTAATTTAACATCAACATCAAATCCCTTAATTGAAGCTGTCATTGAGTAAACGCATTCTTCTCGATTACATCTTACATAATTTCATACACATTCGACTAAAACAGATAACTTCCCTCCAAGTTAAAAGATCACGAAATTTTGATCATGACACGGCATCTAAATTTGAAAGGTATTGTAATATTATAGCTTTTAAAAACTCACAATTTATTCCATACAATTTGCATACAATTTCTAAATTTTTAGTTGTTCCATTATAAAAGTGTTCACTGTTTGTGAATGTATTGGAGATCAATCCATTGAAACTAAGACTTGTAAATGTCAATCGATAATGCATCCCTTCGTAGAGGTAATTCATTTTTACTTGACATTTCTGAACACAATGTCCATCATCTGCATAATAAAAATAACAGGAGAAATAATAATAGTTTGACTCTTTCGAAACGGTATATTTGCAAGTGCGGTAAACAGGTGTGTAAAAATATTTTGATAAGTCTCTATTTTTCAAGATTCTTGAATCTATATATTGTACAGTCTACTAGAAGTCTTTAGGATATACATGTATATGAGATCAATATTAAATAATAATTTGATTGATTGATTGATTGTATATTGTTTAAGGTCCCTCTCAAGAATTTTTCACTCATATGCCCCCGCTTGCTGGTGGAGAGCTGCAAATTTTATCCTTTACTCGCCACTCAGGGCCATTGAGCGTGGAGGGATCTTTTTCTTGCCAGCACCTACTGCGACATGGGACCTCGGTTTATACGGTTTCATCCGAAGGACCGGTCTCCACGTCCCACAGTGGGATTCGAACCCGCGACGTAAGGATTGACTCCTTACTTCGCGACTCTAGAGCAGACGCTCTAACCACTGCGCCACGTGGGCGACAAATTATAATTTGAAGTGGACATGGCAATTGAAGAAAAATATTAAGAAGATAAAAAGAGTAGTGGGAGGTAGTACAAGTATTATATTACTGTATCAAATAAGGTGACTACTGCATATCATTTCCCGTAAATAAAAGGAGACTGATTCCAAAAATTACCCGTTTCAAGCCGCTGTCTTGCATCCTCTAATGTAAACATATATGATATTTCATCCATCGCAAACATCAAAGGTTTGTTTAGACAAACTTCACTGAAAATCAACATATAACTGATAGCGATTCTTTCTTGAGATTTATAAGAAGTGCGTTTCTATTGTAAGACCTTTTTCGATAATAGAATATAAATCAACAATAGAAAAGTACAGTCAATAATGTGGTCAGTTATATTTCTAATGCTTTTTTAGCACTTTGCTTTGATTTTTGTTTCCTACCTGTCAACATCATATGTAGAACAACCATAAAGCAACGTCATAAAACAACAAATACTGAAATGAAATGCATCTTTTTAGTAAAAAGATTTCACAGTATTTTTTATAAAGTTTTCACTGTACTTAAACATGTTAAATAGTGTAAAATAGCAGGCTATTTTCTGTGGTATTCTGATATATTTTTTATGTTACTATAAACAAAGATACAGTGTATAAACTTTTAATGAGAGTTTTCCTACATTTTAATTGATTAGGATTCTGTAATTTAATAAAACCATCGCGACTTCCAAAAACGTCATTGTAGAAAAACCAAGTAACACAATAAAAGCAAGATTCGCTTGCAGTGGGTCAACATTGATTTTGCCTCCACTCTGTCTCGGAGGCTTACATATTCTACGATCCAACAACCCCAGTCAATATTTTAATAATATTTACTGTACTTAATCGCGGAGGATTAGAATTCGGTTATTTCGCTCTTGCTTAGCAACAAGTATCAACAAACATAAATCCTACGCAAAATTGTTCTTTTACTTTGTTTTGCATTGGTTAAATTTAGATGCAACGAAATTTCATGTCCACGAAACCTTTTTACATTTTTTTTTTATTTTTAATCTATAAGAAATGAGTCTGAACATATATCACCAAGAAAAATGGCACCTGATCCCACTTCTGATATTTTGAAGGTTCGGGTTTTCTCTGCTTTAATCTTGGATTTTTCCACTACTTCCCGGTCATGACAAGGAGCACACCGGTCGGCAGAGGATTCTTACTCCTCCATGGCACTCGATCGCGCTTCTGATGTTTTGGGGGTCCGTGCTTGCTCTGCTCCATTTTTGCATCGTATTTTGGAGTTTTGAGCTTGAATAGAGTTCGTTATCCCAATATATTTTTTGCGAAAAAGCTGTGCAGTAAATTAGTTGGATCTATAGTTTGGTACTGAAAAAAGAATCCAGACACTCTCCATGTATACTGCTGAATGTGGTAATAAATGAATCAGAATATTCTGGTTCCATTATATTTGATCATATTTTGGAAAGATATAAACATAAACATTAATTAATAGTTGAACATAAAAAATGCTTCCTCAAAGTACATGAGTCTAGTTTTTCAAACCAAGATTAGGCCAAATTTCCCTTTTCTACCTGTATTTAAACTTTTAAAGTACCATTCAAGTACCATATTTTTATTGACAGGTCGGAAAAGAAAATATATACTTACATTCAATATTCTTCGATATTGTCATTTTTTAAAGTATAAAATTATTTCCTATTTTACAAATTTGTCTGAATTTAAAGATTTTGATTGAGAGAATGATTTTCAGGAAGTTTTTTATATAGTGTGCCTCAGCGGAAAATTTAACATCCTTGTCGCCGATTTCATGTTACAAGCACTCAATGGATTTAATGTAGCTCTCATCATATTGGGAAATTAATATCCTTGTTGAATTTGCTTTAAAATATTCCCATTACTTGATTAAATAATGCATAGTAGTGAGAGCTCTGTAAAGATTAATGTATCTGATGATGATAAATAAAATATATGAAGATAATGAACAGTATTTAAACTCAAAAGTCCATAAAACAATTAAATAGGAGCAGAGCAAACACTGACCTCCAAAACATCAGAGGTGGGATAAGGCGCCATGGAGGAGTGAGCATTCCCTGCTGACTGGTAACACCCGCCGTGTGCTCTTTGTCAAGATCGGGAAATAACGGATAAATCCGTCGTCAGTTCAGTGTATAAATAAGGGGCTAACAATTTATATGAAAAACGTCAGTCAGCATTTGACTCAATGATAAATTGTATTTACTGACATGTCTTGAAGGCGTGTGATAAATGAATAATATTTTTCTTAATATAACTTTTGGTGAAACTGACTTTGAAAAGAACAAAGACAGGTCATTTTTATCTACTATTACAGTGTTTGCTTCGGGAGAGATCAGTTGTGGGGGCTTAGTTCGATTCTTTTTCGCCCACCACGTTAAACATTTGAATATGACATAGGCACATGTCGTGACTGCTCCCTCCTTAAACGTAAGGTATAAGTAGTGAAGGTCACAGTTCTTCAAGGTGTGACCTTCACATCGATGTCCTGGCAGGTATTCACATGAAAAGAACCCTCACTATATTGGTGAAAAATTCTTACATTGAACCTTTCAAACAAAGTATCAATTAGTCTTTCATGAAAAAAAGTTATATCTATATTTTTTTTACATTTATTTCCAGTAACGTATAACAAATTTTGAGGCAAAACTTCCTCAGAAGCCCTCGGTTAATACCTCAGCTAAGGTGCCAGGAGCTCCCTGG